AAAAAAAAAAAAGGAACTAGAGGAAAGTTGTATGTTTCATTGTTGCTACACTGCACCCTGACTGGCTCGTCTCCTCCCTGCAACCCTTCTGTAAGGGGATGTCCAGTTGCCTACAGATGGGTTTTGGGTCTCCACTCTGCCCTTCCCCCTCATTCACAATGACATGATGTTTTGTTCTTTTATGCCTGATACCTCATCCAATTGACACAGAGGCTGGTGTGCTTCTTCCATGTGGTCTTTATTGCTTCTCAGCTAGATGTCCGCTTGATAATCTTCAAGCCTTTAAGACTCCAGACACTATATCTTTTGATAGCCAGGCACCATCAGCTTTCTTCACCACATTTGCTTATGCACCCATTTTGTTTTCAGTGATCGTGTCGGGAAGGTGAGCATTATGGAATGCCAGTTTAATAGAACAAAGTGTTCTTGCAATGAGGGAGGAATTGTTTTGGCCCATTTTAAATTTGCTCCAGTTTTTAGTGTTTTCTTTCTTTTTTTACAGAGATTATTTTCCACTTTTGTCACTGTTGGGATTTTTGTTGGTTGTTTTCTTAATTTTGTTTTGTGTGACTTTCTGTATATGAAATTCAGGGTCAGTAAAGCTACAGAGACAATTTAAGTAACTGGATTAATAATTACCTAGGGACATGGCAGAGGAGATTGCGAGCATATGGGGTGCTAACAACAGTAAATAAAAGAAAGAAGAAAATGTTCTAAACTTGATTGTGGTGATTGTATAATGCATCTTAATATGATTGAACTATTGAATTGTATATGTGAATTATATGCCGTTTTTTAAGTGCAAAAGAGAAAGTAACATACCCAAAACTTGAGCAACTAAGAAAATGCCAAATTAACTTTTATGCCCCAAAGGGCTATTTTCAGCCCTCTTATTTATGCCTTAGTGTTTCATGAACAGTTTTAGTTTGTAGTTATGTGTCACTTTTTTTGTTGTTGTGTGTCTATTTTTAAATTATTCTTTTAAATGGTAAAGTATTAAAACACTCTATGAGCAGGTCGTAGCTTTTTAAAGAATAAACTATTAAAGTGTTAGAAGGAGTGTGCCTAATTTATTTCACTTATTTATGTACTTATAAAGCCTAAGAAGGTCTGCTTGATAGAAGGAAATATAATAGTAATTAATAATATTAGTATAAATTACACCAATAAAGTAATGGTTCTTGGCTTTATTTTAGGTCAGAAGTTTTTGTTTGTTTGTTTGGTTGGTTGGTTTCTTAAGACCATTTTATTGGGGCCTCCTACAGCTCTTATAACAATCCATACATCAACTGCGTCAAGCACATACGATGAAAGTGTTTTAATCTACTTTGAGTAGCTAGGATCTGGAAATGTGCATCTAGTTCCTCATGTGAGATTTAAAATTGAAGGAGATTTAAAAACAAAAACTTGTCTCTTCCCCACTGCTTTGCCAGCTAAACCAGTCTGTTGTTGCTCCTACCCTTTCCTTTGACTCTGGACTGCGTTGGCAGAGAAGCTGAGAGGAAGAAGTCATTCCTGTAGATGGGGACAGCAGTGTTTCATTTACAAGAGCACCGTACTTGTATTCAGAAAAAACATTGCACTTTAACTGCAGTCATTTTAGCAGCCATGAGCGGGACTAATCACTAACACTTAAAAGTAAGATTTAGGAGAGAAGAAAATAGAGAGTATAATTTATGAAGAAATAGAATCTAGTGCATAAGTGAAGGACCTAACCATGGAAGGGGTGACTATCTGTTGATTTTTTTAAATCCAGTTGAAGGAAAGTTTGATTAACAATAGAAGATATAAGTAGAAAAAGGGGAAGGTAAGGAAGCACTAATAGAATAAATTTTCTGTATGTGTGTGACTAAAATCAACTTTAACAATTTTTTTTAATATTTGTATTGTCATATCTTACTCATTTTAATATATCCATTCCCATACAATTGTATTCTTCACTCCCATCAGACGGGTCTATACCAGTGGTTCTCAACCTTCCTCATGCTGTGACCCTTTCATACAGTTCTCATGTTGTGTGACTCCCCCAACCATGAAATTATTTTTGTTGCTACTTCATACCTATCATTTTGCTACTGTTATGAATCAGGCGACCCCTGTGAAAGGGCCATTCGACCACCAAAGGGGTCGCGACCCACAGGTTGAGACCCACTGGGACCATCATCAGTGCTCTCAACTCTCCTCTCCCTCCTTCCTGCCCCTACCCTCCTCACTTCCCACACCCTTGGGGAACCCTTGCTCCTGTCAGTGCCTCATAGGGCAGTTCTACTCCATCTGGTGGGGTTACCGTGGGTTGGATCGACTGTCCAGCTGCAGGTTTTGTGCGGGTTAAAGTGAGTTTCAGAGAAATGCTGTTTGCGTAGCGCTGCTGTGGATGGTTGTGCACATCAGAGGTGGTACATTCACATTGCACAGGTCTTCAATTGCAAATTTATTAAAAATTTTCAGCAGATGGCAGTAAACTATCATAAGAAAGAGTGTTCTCTTAGTTTGTGCAAAAGCATTATATTGGCCAGCAGTAGCAGCAGTACATAAAATGTGTCCGTCTGTTTTGTTTTAAAGCACATAAGCACAGAAACAATGCTGAAAGGAATACCAAAATGTTCGTGGTCTGGGCAACTGAATCACATGGGGATTTTTATTTTCATTTACTCTTTTGAATATTCCCTGTTTCCTGAAATGAGATGTTTGTTTATTAGTTCTGCAGTGGGAAGGCAGGGAATATTTCTAAAAGGGTTCTGAAAACTCAGTGTCTGCCTTTTATTGACTTTCTTTATAATTTTACTTGAACTTTTAAAATAACATACTGTATGTAGATGGATTGGGGAACCCTAACTGTTTTTTATCTTTCAATGGCCATTACAACTAGCTTCCTGCAGTTATATTAGAACTTTATGTTGAAGTGACACAAATGAGCAATGACTTATCTGACCCTCGTTGTTACATCTTTAGAGGGAGATAGCCTGGGACGACCAGACGACTCTGTGCTCAGTGCTGTCTGTCTATAGGTAGAGCGGGAGGAGCGCTTTTATAAATTCTGGCATCTTAAAATCTCTGACTCTCTCACATATACACACAGTACCATATAGATAATAATAAAGATTTAAAGAAAAACTGCAGCCTTTCCCCACTGTGGTTGGTAAATCATCCATTATCTTTATTACAAATAAGTTGATAGATAATATTTATGTATTACAAAATAGTTTAGAAATAGAAATAATTTTTACTAGTGACAGAAAGTAATATATTTGAATTGTGTGTGTTTGTCAATGTGTGTATAGAAGATGTAAATTTCAGTTAATGATTTAATTGTATTTTGGTAAAGTCTTAAAAGCATACTAAGAAATTCCTCCATGTATATTTAGACAGTCGGTAGTGTATATTACAGAGCTCAGGTTATACTTTTATTTCATATTAATGACAGCCTCATTCATAAGTACTAAAAATGATTAGAAATTCCAATACTAAAAATATGTTCAATGATCAGAGTTTCTCAGTGAACTTTTTGGTAAGTACTTATATGGAAGAATATGAATGAAATGCATAACAATTATTTTAGACTCTATCTTTTATAATGACTTCTTTATTATACATATTTTGAGTATTGTCTCCAGGAGGAATATCAATTTTTTTAAGTATTGGATATATACTGTACATTAAAATTGGCTTAGTATAGACTTGTTTATATGACAGCCAAATAAAATGATTTTTTAATGATATGTGTATGAGTTCTCTGTAATAAATCTTAAAGATGCTGTTTGTCCAACTGCTTGAACTATTGAATGTTTAGTGTAGTCTCTGCTACCTGGATTCCAAAGTCAGGCTTACCAAAATATATGGAAGGTACTGGTGATTTAGTGGTAGAATTCTTGGCCTCCACGTGGGACAAGCCTGTGTCCAGATGGTTGAGGCTTGTGTGTTGCTATGATGCTCACTGGATTCAGTTTGGTTAAATGTCCATACTAAGACGATCTAGGAAGAAAGAGTGGACAGTGTGGTGTTGAAAAACAGCCCTTGAGAACTCTGTAGGTCACTGTGGTTCAGTCTGCAGCTAACTTGATGGGGCATTGGCCCAGCACTTGGCAGCTTTAAATTCCATTCTGTTGTGTCGGGCTCTGCATGTGTCAGGCCAACCTGATGGCAGCTAATAACAACCCCACCACCTTTTATAGCATCTGGATTACTAGACTGGATCTGTTCGGTCTGACTCTGTGCAATGAGGAATCTAAATAGCACTTGAGAAGCTTCTAAAGTACAATACATTAGGGCATTTGTTTATAAGGAGATGTTGTACTTTACTTTAAGATGGTATTTCATTTACTTTCAAGATATTCTTAACCAAATTACAGCCAAGAGGGGGAAAAAATATATATTCTTAGCCAAACTCTCTGAAATTAAGGATTTTAGAGAGAAGAGTATTAAGCCAAAAATAAATTTATTTTTTATTTACATCTACTGTTAAATAATTAAACTTAGATCCACAGAGAAAAAAATTCAGAAATAATTTTAGCTTGAAATTAGGTCAGCTAGAGATTTTCCCTATTTACACATCTTAATATCTCTGTTGAGTGAGTTTCTAAGACTAAGTCTTTACGGAAGTAGAGAGCTTCATCTTTCTTCCAAGCATTGACTGGTGGTTTCAAACTGCTGACCTTGCAGTTAGCAGCCCAACTTGTAACCACTACACCACCAGGGCTCCTGAGTTTCTATTAAGAATGAATAAAATAAATTTGGAAACAGCTACTGTTGATGACTGCACAATAAGGTAAAGGACACTGATGCCAAGGAGTTGTACATGCAACAGTCATTGAAATGGAAATGTTTTGTTTTATATTTGTGTGTGTGTGTAGATTTTCCTAGAGTTTGTATTAAGAAGAACATGTTTCCTATTATAAAGAATATGTTCAGATCGAATTGTATGATGTGGGTTATGTGCCAGTAAAACTGGGGGAAAGTTCATTCAAGTGTCAGATAATGTTTTACCATGTGTGTTTCTGCAGGTGGTTTCAGACACCCTCGCAGGTTTTCTACCACGCAGCAACTGAACATGGAGGAAAAGATGTCTATCCAGGGCAGTGTCTTTGGGAAGGTTGTGAGCCTTTCCAACGACAAAGGTTTTCTTTTATTACCCACTTACAGGTACTACTTCTTAATACTGTTTACATAGTAAGTCCTCGGGTTGGAGTGAAGAGCTTGATGAGTATTCTTTTCTGACTCTCTCAAAAAAGGATAAGCACTGTTCAAAGGATGCCCTGCTTGCAGGATTAAAACAGGATGAACCAGGACAAGCAGGAAGTCAAAAATCTTCTACCAAGTAAGGAAAATCTGTGTTCTTCCTGTTGTACACACAAATGAAAATCAAGAAACAAGACAAAACACGGCAACTTATTAGCATCTCAGGCCCTAGTCCAGCTGGGGGGCCCTTTCAAATTGCTTAACTTCCACACCGTTCCTCACATTGGCTGGGTACATAAGGTGCCCTGTACCTTTAGCATTTGGTGATTCTGCTTTGTAGACAAGTCATTGGAAATAATGACAGATGATATAAATATGTAAACTAAAAGCTTTGCCCTTTGAGAGATTAACTGAACGTGTATTGAGGAATGGCAAAGATTTGTTTTTTATAACTACGACTATGAGGGTGAAGTGAGGGACCTATATGAGAGTATAAATGTCATATTTACAGTATCATTATTCCTTTTCCTATTATTTCCTGGCATACTTTTGTAATACATTTAATTGGTTTTGAGTTGATCAGAGATTCCTAGGGATCGTTATTATACTTAAGTAGGATCTCTTATTTTAACTGAACCTAAGTACTTTGACTTTCCTAATAGTGAATTAAATTAGTTTGGCACCATTTAATGAGAGCCTGCCACACACAGTCAGTTCTAAAGCAAGACTCTATAACCTCATAGAATAGAAAGTCTAGACGGAAAAGCATGGAAACACAGAAGCTACTTAGATACTTTGTTCTGTTACTATTTAGTGAGAATGTGCATCATGCTAGGCACTAAATTATAACAGTAACCAAGATACCTTTTTCCATTTTTAAAGCCAGGATTCATCAAATCTGTTGATGTTGAGTCAGTAGCCCATCGCAAACCCGCAGCACCATCTGGGCTATTTGTAAGTTTTACAAGACTGTAAGTCTTTATGGAGGAGCCCTGATGGCATAGAATTTTCTGAGTGCGACTGATAACTGCAAGGTCTGCAGTTCGAAACCACCACTCTCTCCTTGAGAAAAAGACAAAGCTTGCTACTCCCGTAAAGAGTTGCAGTCTTGGAAACTCACAGGGCAGTTATTCCCTGTCTTACAGTGTCACTGAGTCAAGAGTCGAAATGGACTCGATGGCAGTGAGTTGAGTTGAAGTCTTTATGGAAGCAGGTTGACACTTTGCTTTCTTGGAGTGGCTGGGAGGTTGAGAACCACCCACCTTCTGGTTAGCAGCTATGTACTTCACCACTGCACCTCCTTGCCCTTTGTTACCATTCTTAAGGCTCCATAATGAGTAGTAAAATGATAGAGACAAGGTGTTGTGAGCCCATTTAAGCTAATCTAGGAGAACAATGAAAGCTATCTAGTAGAAGGCATACCTGAGCTGAGACCCAAAGAATAAGGAAAAATTAACAAGAGTACTCATATTACTGAGTTTGGATTTTACCCTAAAAGCAAAGGAAAGTAAAATATTCCAAGTCACACTGAACACAATAGAGTCAGAAATAGAGATGGTAGAACGAGTTTGAAATCTGACTTTATATAAAACTTATTTCTACAGCCCCTCCTTTCTCCATTTTTGTACATGACTGTAGACTTTATTGAAAGGATTGATTGAAATTAAATGATGAAAAATAAGATTGTGTAGCAAAGTAATTATTATGATAGGTTATCCTTGCCAGGGTGATCTATCCCAGTACATTCGTAGGTGCTATTATTTTCCCTTGGGCACTTTTCATAAATAACCATTTACAACTCAAATTGTAGGCTGTTTTCTTTTTTCTTGCCATCTTCACATTACAGTCAGAGTTGGAAAATTCATTACGTCTTATTGTCATGTCATGCTTATTTTGATTGTGTATTTACCCAGCAAAGTACTTTAATGATGGACCACACTGGGGCATCTGTGGCTTGCTTTAAAATTCATACATTGGGAATAAAAGGTGTGAAGAAGCTTAAGCTAGATCCACAGAGCCCTTTAGCCAAGGCTGACGCAAAGCATGAACATTCATACTAAATTTTGAGGGCTTTTAGTCCCTTTGTGCCCAATGTAAGTCTGTCTGCAGCAGCATTTAACGATCTCATCCTCTCTCTGATCAATTTAGGCAGCCAACTGTAGGGGGTACCAGCTCAACTCCGAGAGCACAAAAGGTCATTGTGAACCATCCCAGTGCGGCATTGATGGCTCTTAGGAGAGGTTCAAGAAACCTTGTCTTTCGAGATTTTACAGTAAGCCAGCCTTGAGAGCTTTCTCCGTAATGTTCTGAGCACTGTATGGCTTAGATCTTTATTCTTTTTCTTTTATTTCCTTCTCTTTTTAAGGATGAAAAAGAGGGACCAATAACTAAACACATCCGACTAACAGCTGCCTTAATATTAAAAAATATTGGTAAATATTCAGAATGTGGTCGCAGGTGAGTAATGTGTTTTCCAGACCCAATGTGGATGTAGATTTTTGTTTTGTGTTGTTTTCACATACAGGTTAATAAGATTAGATGTCTGTATTTTATTCACATTGATTTTCTCATCAGCTTTGTAAATATCTCATGCCAACATCAAGCCATTGTAATCTCTTAAAAGCCAAATATAAGTAGAGAGAAGTTGAAACAACTAAAGATGTTCATTAAACTTGCTGCATTCGGTCAACTTTGTTTGTTGGCCACAGAAATCAGAGGACAAAGTAGCTGTGCTAAAGAGAGAAGTTAAGGAGTTTATTCAGGGTATTAAATTAATTTGAGCCTTGTAGGATCAAAATGAAATTCAGTTTGCTAACTGACGTTTATTTACTTATCAAAGTCATAGATATGTTAAAATTAATTATAATTCCTGCAGTCTTAAAGTTACTTTCTATTGTGTGATGTCTTTTCGTATATGGAACCCAGGGTTGATGAGCCTGTAGTGATAGCAGGTAGAATATGGGTATGGTGGGGGAGGGGAGGCCAGGAAGAAGGAGAATTTTAGAGGCTGATTGTGGTAGCAATTGTATGGTACAGCTTGATGTGATTGAACTATGGAATGAAATGAAATATAGATATATATAAACTCTCAACTAAATAAGTTAAATATATATTTTTAAGTTACTTTCTAATGGATTTAATCAAGCTACAAGATTTTGTAGCTCTCCTGGGTGGTGGGGTTTCTGGCTTGTTGATCTTCGTTAGCACAGTGCTCTGGAGGGCTGTGTGGATGCGTTGAAGTGCCTTGCTTCACTGTCTGCTTTTCTGGGTCCTCCTCCCCCATGAGCTGACTCAGCTCGGGCTCCTGCTCGAGAGAGTCCTCAGGCTTTGTTGCCTGAGCACTCACTGGCCATCCCATCAGCAGGTCTCCTGTCACACACTGTCACGTCTCCTCTCCTGATGACCTGGAATCTACTTTAGCTCTTCCCCACATTTTATTTTGTTTTATTCTTGTAATTATAATACTGCAATGGCCTTCCATCCTGATTTTCCAGGAATGGAAACAGTGGTATCAACTAAGCAGTGTTTGAGTTTTAAAACTTCTTTTAATCATGAATAAAGCTTAAAATTGGGTTTTCCAAACTGATTTCCAACGGCAAGTTACTATATTTAATGTATAAAAAGTATTTCTTACGGATGGAAAACTTTTACCACTCAGAAAATAAGCAAACTTTTGCAGAGAAAAAACAAATACAGAGGCTTAGTAGCCAAGTATGCTATTAATTTCTTCCTGCTTCCTTCCTAACACGGTCTCCTCTAGCCGTCCTGCTGCAGTCCCCCCGCTGCCCCTCTCTGCTGCAGCCTGTGTGTCAGCCCAACAAGCCACATGCGGCTTCCTCGCGTGCTAAGCGCTTTGATGCCACATCTCCATAACTTTGTGCCCGGTTCTACTGCTAAGAACCCATAACTCCAAGCCTTTCTTGCCTGTCACAAACCTGCTTCCCTCCATGATTTGTATAGTCTTGGTACAGCCGACCGTACGCTGTTAATCTTCCCACCCAAGAACATGTGTGTCTTCATTGATTGCATTGTTTATCAACAGTGTTTAATATCTAGAGAGCCTGTTTCTGATTAACCTTTGTAGCCTGAACACCCGCCTTAGTGTTTTTTTGTTTGTTTGGACATTTTATCGAGGGATCTTACAGCTCTTATAACAACCCATACATCAGTTGTATCAAGCACATTTGTACATATGTTACCATCATTATTTTCTAGACATTTATTTTCTATTGAGCCCTTGGTGTCAGCTCCTTCCCCACCCTGTCCACCCCCATAGGGCCCCTTGATAAATTATAAATTATTATTATTATTATTATTTTCAGCCTCAGTGTTTTTAATAGATAATCATCACCTCCTGTTTGCACTTTTGTATTCTACCCTAGGAGCCTGTGCCCCCACAAACTTTTCCTGGCATCATCCTCACTGCCTGCCCAGGTCCAAGGGTGCAGGAGGTCCCTGCCACCCCATGACTGCACATTACCTGTCACCTTAGCTGTTAGCTCAGTGAAGAGAGGGGTTGCATAAACTGGTTTTGTCTCGGTATCCTTGGTGCTTATTTAGTATAGTGTTGGTAATGAAATAGGTACTCAGTAAACAGCTGATGAGTAGACAGATGGAAAGAAAGGCTCACAACTTAATTTTCTCCAGTACTTCTGATCTGGAATCAATGAACACAGAATTCTGAAAATCTTGTAACTTCTTAGGGGTAGATAGTTAAACCAACTGGCTAGGTCTAATAAATTAAAATTAAAATATTGAGTGATTTCTATATGTATATGTGTGTGTACACGTGTATATACACACATGAGGGACTACCCAGAAAGCAGCAGATTTTTTTTCAAAGTTATGTATTTATCTATTTTTATAAAACAACCTTATTGTCAAAGTACTCACCATAATATATTTGTCAAATCTGCGATTCCGTTCTTGGAAACATTTATCAAACTCATCTGTTTGCATGGCTGATAGCACCTCCCTTGTTTTTTTCTTCACCTCTTTTATGTCGTCAAATTGCTTTCCTTTTCTGTCCCTCTTCATTCCTGGAAACAAAAAGAAGCTGTAAGGAGCAAAGTCAGGTGCATGGGGCAAGAGAGGCATGCTGTTTTTTGCCAGAAACTGGGGCACTGGAGTTTTAAATAGAAAGCTTGATTAACAGTCTGACCTGGTGGAACCAACTCCAAATGCACTATCCCCCTCACATCAAAAAAGCAAATGAGCATCTTGATCTTTGATTTCACTTGATGAGCTTTAGGAGGGGCAAGGTGATGAAGGCGTCTTCCACTGGCTTGATTGATGTTTGTTTTCAGGGTCTTTATAGCTTCATGTCTCATCACCAATAATGACCTTGGGGAAAAGTTTGGGTTACTTCTGAGCTGTTCTGTCAAAGAAAGCCTGCCATGTTTCTACTCAACGCTCCTTTTCCTGATCAGAACCTGAGGCACAAATTTCACAGCGACTCTTCTCATTCCCAAATCTTCTGTTAAACGAGCAACAAGGTAGTTCAGATAACTTCCCCATCTCTTCACTGATCCCTTGTAAGTCTTTGAGCACAAGTACATGAATTTAGTCAACATTTTCATCCGTTCAGGAAGTTAACAGGTGTTCAGAATGAGGTTGGTCATCAATCGACATTTCACCTGTGGGAAATGAGAAAACCACTCATACACTTGCATTTTTCCCATAGCTCTGTCCTTATAAGCTCTGTTCAATATGACAACAGTTTCTTCGGCATTTTTCCTGAACAGGAAACAAAATTTCACAGGCACATGCTTTTCTCTTAAATCGGCCATCACGAAAACGGGAGTCAAGCGAAACCACTTTTACAAAAAAAATTCACTGTGACCAGAGAGAACCTTCTCAGGTGACGCCACTGGGTGCACCGACTCAGAGCAAGTTGCCCGATGCTCTAGTAGTGAGAAAAATGCTTACTATGAGAGCTCCATCCAGCTGAGCTTTTTTCCATTGTGGGGGTACCCCCTCATATGTGCGTGCGTGTGTGTGTGTGTGTGTGTATTAAGTATATATATTAAATATATATATATCAGAATGCTGACTCATAACTTCAGTTTGAGCAGCTATAGTGAGACAAACCAGAAGACAAGCCTCTCCAGTGATAGGGAGTTTAGCTTGAGCAGGAATGCTGATAGAAAATCTGACAAAACCTTTATGTGTGAAAGGTAAGGAACTAGAGCTGCAAAAGATAGTTCTGCTGATAACTTCTCATCCTTAGTGTGTCTGTGCTTAATAAAGCAAATTTCTGTTTGCAATGAGGAAAGCAAACTTAGGTTTCGGAAATGGTTTGCCTGGGTTCTTGCTTCTCAACCCTGAAAGAATTCACATGGCGGAAGCACTTTTGTAAATCCAAGTAACTTTTATGCGGGAAAGGGAAGTTTGGGGTAGTGCAGTCTCAGGTAGCACATGCTATCTCTGGAAAGTGAGCAAGGCTGCATGGCTGCGGCTGTGGGAAAGTTTGCGACTGAAAATGGCCATTTCAGGGGAAGCCCCGTGAAAAGAGCACTGGAGGAGAGCTGGGAGTCAGCGTGCAGCGCAGAGCGTGCCTGCCCTCGGGCCCTGCTTCCATTCCCTCCTCCGTTGCTTGAGGGCGTGTGGTGGAGGGTATTGCCATTCTCAGTGCTCCACCTGTGGGTCGTGACCCCTTTGGGGGTGGACGACCCTTTCATAGGGGTTGCCCAACTCATAACAGTAGCAAAATTACAGTTAGGAAGTAGCAAAGAAAATGATTTGACGGTTGGGGGTCACCACAACAGGAGGAACTGTATTAAAGGGTCGCGGCATTAGGAAGGTTAAGAACCACTGGCCTAAGGTCAGGGGCAACTGTGATGTTGCCCGGTGAAGGTCAAGGTTGACCTTCACCTGCACCTAGGTGACCATAGTCTACACATGCTCAGCTTTGGATTGTCCCCATAGGTGTCTGGTGTGTGCCTGGTTTCTTTGCAACCCCTTTATTATGGCTTGGCCAGCTAATTTTCATTTAGAGCCCTAATCCAGCTGCCTTTCATTACTATGTCAAGATAATAGGAATATGTAGACGTTTCCCTACTCTCTTACTTTTTAATGTAGCACCCTAAACGGCATGCAGTGTTGACCGGTTTTCTTTTCTTACCTTGAAACTCACAGTCTGATTATTGCTCTTTTGCCTTCCTTTGAGTTAAGTAACTTTTATCACTGTAATGCATGAGGGCTTCCAAATGTTTGTGCAAAATGTAATGGAAAATACAGGAATTTTCCATGAACTCTTGAAACCCCCTTGCACATGCATGGTCTTTTAAAAATCATGTAGTACTAACAAGTTTACAACCAAATACAATATCCACCCCCAAAGAGAACCTTTCAAAAGTTCAGTTCCTCTGGTATTTGCCTTAGTATTTCTGCATGCTAGTATTTTTGTACTAGCATTTACCTAGTATTTTTTTACAAATTTTTCTTCTTTTTGGTGG